TTTTCCAACCAAAAGGTAATCTAGTAAACTCATACAGTCCAAAATTTGTAGTGAATGCCAATTTTTCAGTATCCTTTTCATTTAATTTTATATGCCAATAGCCTGATGCCAAATCCAATGTAGAAAAGATTTTTGCATTTGTTAATTGATCTAATACAGCATCAATTCTAGGAATAAGTTCAGAATCAGTTTTAGTAATTTGGTTAAGCTTCCTAAAATCAATACACAATCTGCTTCTGGACTGCTCATCTCGCTTATAAGCTAAAGTTACAGGAGCAGCATAAGGACTATAAGAAGGTTTAATAATTCCAGCTTTTAACAATTCATCTATTTGTTTTTTTAATTTCACTATTATCTTTAGGAGATGCTCTATATGGTCTATAGGCTATTGGTAATTCAGAAGTTAATATAACTCTGGGAGGTTCAACCCTTATAAAACCAACATCATATTTACTTTTTGCAAATATATGATTATAATCATTCAACAATTTCTGTAATTTACTATCAGAATTTTTACTATTTTCAAAATAATTACCACAATTTTTAGTACTAAGATCATTTTTACATACAAAATTTTCGCTATTATCAAAATATTTACTAGATTGTTTCAGCACTGATATCATTTTTACATACATAATTATTTTGGAAAAAAAAACTTGTCTACTTTAACATTTTTACTTACCTGTTTTTCCAAGCTGATACACTTCATAATTATGAAAATTCAATTGTAATTTAAATAATGAAACACATGGTGATGAAAGCAATAAATAATTCAAATTTGAATCTACTACATAAAATATCACATTATTTTCTATTTTACCTACTTTACACTTTACTTTGATTATTTTCTCTATATGTACTTGACTAGATATTGAAAATATTTTATCATGGTATTTCACTGAAATTTCTCTAAATTTATCACCAATTTTGTTAAAAATTTTTAACGGTAAAACGTTAATTTGCGGTCCCGTATCAGTAATACTGGGAATTTTTTTCCTGTCCAATTTGGACATTCACTTTAAAGTAATATCATTTTTTAACTTCTCTTTTAGGACCGTGTTATAATTAATAGCAGGTAATTGTGGATATCGAATTGGCCGATACGCATACTGTAGAGGTCGGTATTGCACTTGTTGATAATTAAAAGGTCTCACACTACGAAAACTTTGATAAGGAGTGGCTTGCACTGGTCTGGGATAATAGCACCTCGGAACAGTTTGCCTTGGAGAAACAAATTGGTAATTACTATTTCCTAGACCATCCACGGCATCTGAACTGGAAACAGTTTCCTAGCAAGAGTAATCCAGTCTTTCGGTGTGTCTCTATTTTTGCACTGTTAACAGCATTCTTTGAGACTCAGGAAGTCCTTCCGTAAGTGCTTCCACCATTGTGGAATCAGTTAGTTTCAAGCTGGCTCCTAATTTCAACTTATTACGAAAATAAACATCAATATTATTAAATTTCTCGTATTTTAAAGACACAAAATCACTAAAAGTAACAGATTCCGATGTTGTGAAGTATGTCTCGAAAATATCCTTTATGTTGTTCCAGTCTTTATCTAAACAATCACGTAAATAGAGGGCTAAAGCCTCTCCTCTAATACACTCTGAGAAAACAAATTTCTTTTCCTTTTCTGGAATGTTCTTTGCGGCACATTTCTCTTCAAACAATAGAAGATATTTGTCTATTGGAAAATTTGTACTTGTGCCATCAAAAATAGGGAATTGAAATTTCACTGTATCCACAATAGCTACGGATTCTTGCTTATCAGTTGACATTTTTGCCGTTTTTCATCGTGTTTAGCATTCCAATCACAAAATCTTGAATTTAAGAGTTCGCATACACATCAATTTGAATACTAAAATCAATCACTTTAGAAGCACTTGATAAAACGCATAACTTTGGAGGCGAGGTAAAACACTTAAGCATCGCCGGAAAAGAAGCAAAAGCATAAGACGATCACACACTGTCCTTGACCCACTGTTGAATTTAGAAGCGCGTTAGAAATAAATCCAGGAGCTTTTTTCCCACGTAGAGGATAATATCCTACCGGCTAATTAATAACTGTAATGTTTTCAGTTATTCCACACATCGTGGGCGAATGGTGAGGCTATTCCATTACACGTTCTGGCAGATGGTTGACGAAGCTGGGATGATTGAAGCATGGAGAAAAATGACGACTCAGGACTTTTCACTTTTAACAGCATATCTTTATTTTATTTTATAGCAGATGACTTTTTCCAGATGAAGTTAATCAAATAAATTATTCAGTAATTGAACTATTAGATACGACTACTGTCTTTAATACGTTATAACATTCTAACAAAGAAAGAGGAGCATAGCGGAGGAGTTAGCAGAACGAAGGCGAGAAGGCATCTGTGTAGGAGAACTTATGACGCAGCATTTATATGAAAGGTTATGTAACAGAGTAGCTTCTAGAAAAATGTAGAAAAACTTATGACGCAGCATTTATATGAGGAGGTTATGTAATAGGTGCGAATGTTCTAGAAGGTACTGGGTTAGGGGACGATCCTGAATTGCAGAAAATTAATTAAAGGTTGCTGGTTCGCAAAGAGCAAAGCCATCGTATTTTTTTAATATTTTACATATATATGTATATATATAATATGATTAACTGTGTTCTTAATTAGAAACTTTAATTATAAGATTATTTGCTATTTTGTTTAACAAGATTTTTTTGGCTTGAATGGAGTAATGTCTTTATTTGCATTGAGTATTAATTGTGATTTACGGCTTGAATCTAGCAAATAATTTGATGCTTATTTGGTGAAAAACTCTCTTTCACAAAAACTGATGTTGCCTATATAAGAGCATAATTTTCTTTTACACATTCATGAAATTTGAATTAATTATTTATAAAATAATCTACATTTTCTTAATTGTAAAGCAATGTAAAATGAAATTTAGAACTTAATACATAATAAGTAACAAAATTCAGTACAATAACACTATAAACTTTGATAAAAACGGGCAAATCCTCTACAGTGCAAATCAGTGTGACAACTTGCTGATGGCTGTGGGACGTTTAAATACAATTACACATAGAAGCCCCCTTACTTAATAAAGGCTTCCAGTATTGTATAATTATCAAAGTTTATATTTATAACTTATAGACATAAAAATCTTCAAATGAGTTAAATGAAATGAAAAACAAGTATGCAAAAATTAAAGATATATTAAATTCTAGACTGCCTTACAATAATAATATATACCAAATAATTTTGTGAATATAAAATATGAAAAAAAAATTCATAATTATATTTGTTTAGGGAAGACTTTTAAAACGTTTTAAGTATAAAAATTTCACACACATCCATTAACATTATTAAATCGTGGAAAATTTTCAAAATATTATAATGTAATTAAATTTTCATTTGAAACATCATATGAAATAATAAACTCTTCTTATTGAAATTCTCAATTTACTTATTTTGTACAAACTGGAAGACCCAACAGCATTCTCCAAGTACATACATATCCAGCTATTTGGGCAGTTACTTGGAAAGGCCTTGGCAGTCGACATGGTTTTAATTCCATTTTTATTTTCCAGTTGACATTTGTGGCCATAATTACTTGGCACTATTCAAGAACATTTACATTTTTGATATTATAGCGACAGCAAGCAAGACAACGAAATTAGATCTTAGCAGGGCAGAAAACGAGGCTGAAGTGCATAATTATGCAAGATGGACGCACACAAAGAGAAATGTTTTGGTTCGATTTAAAAAGTTTCAGTTTACCATTATTACATCATTAGTGCTGCGCAGACTATTCAAAAGGAAAGATCTAGAAATAACGCAATCCAGAGAAGTTATAACGATTTCTTATTCTGAGAGAGAGAATTAAAGTTTTACCGTTAGCTTAAATTATAATTTTGATTTACATATTTTTTATCTTACACACACGCGCACACACACACATATATATATATCTCAGTAAAGACATAAAGTAAGAAATTTAGAAATTTGAAATTCATAAAATCCAATAAATGCACAAAAGAATTTAATCAATGTCAAACTAAGAATTTTACACACAAAAGACTCTAATTAAAAAAAAAAAAAAAAAAAAAAAAAAAAAAAAAATGAAATTTAAAGAAAAGAACACAGTAGAAGAGGAATTCAATCAATTTCAATGTTACATCGTCAAGAGGAGGAACATTGAAATCTCTCTTTCACAAAAAATCCTTGCTTTTCTATATCCAGAATTACCCGATGAATCATTACATATAATATTTTAATTTTAATAGTTCACCCAAAAATTCTGGTCCCTCCCCAAAGCAAGCTAAAAAACAAAGTAAGTTCTAAACATAATTCTACTTTTAAACAAAGAGTAATTGTATTGTAATTAGTTATTTTCAATTATTTTAACGGCTTTTTATAGGTTTTAAATTCCTTAACTATTTAAGATTATTTTATAAAAAGCAGCTCAAGGTGCTAATTTTTAGACTTATTAGTTCTTTTGTACTTTTAAAAAAGCCTTTTTGACTACTTTATTATTATTTTATGATATTATATATATACACATATTTATAAATTGACTTTTTTGATCAAATCATTTAAAACTGCTAAAGCCCATTCCAAGTAAAATTGCTTAATGCATATAATATGCTTAAGCACTTTAGGAATAATTGTTTAATTTAATCTTTTTTTTTTAAACGGATTAAACGAAAAGTTAGATAACAAAACAATATAAAACATCTTATAAACTTTTTGTCTATGGTTTATGATAAGATATAGTTTACCTATTTAAACTATACTGAATCTTCTAAATATTAATGATATTTTAATTTCTCAAGTAAGTACTGTTTTGATGGAATATTATCTCCCTTGCCAATTTCCAAATAACATTCAATACAATGACATTTTAAGGTAGTGCCCTTTTCTGTCAGCCTCTATAGTATTGTTATAATGTAAGTCATTTGTACATATGTAGAATGAAATGAATTTAGAACTTAGCTTTCAAACAAACAAACAAAAAAATTGATTCTTATTAACAATTTATTACAGAGAATATTTTATCAGAAAAAAAGATTTTCACTAATATGCATATCAGTTTTTACAAATGACACAAGATGAAATTCTGTACTTGTACTAACTTCTTAGCTTTAAAATTATCTATTTTTTCCCTACAGTTCAACCACATATTAAAGTTATCAAATGATTTTACAATTTTATTAAGAAACAGCTTCAGAAATACTGAATATTATTATATTGGTCCATTGTGAGTTTTTCAACATGTGCAATTACATTCAATCACTGGAAGAATAAATTTGAATTTACAAAAGATATGGTACACTTTAGCTTTCTTTATTTTGAAACTGCAGTAAAATTCAGACAGCAAACAAAACAGCAGTAAAATTCATGTACATCTTATCAATAAGATTTTATATATAATTATAATTCAATTTACACAAAGCTTACAAATATACAATAAATCTAATTTGTGAATAGGCGGTACTACTTTTTAATTAATAACACGAAGCAGCTTCTCTAAAATAATTTCATGCTCATGAGCTTGCAGAAAATAAAAGCTGAGAAGTACAAAATTCCACTGCGTGTGGATAACATCAAACATATTCATCTCAACTTGCAGGAACAGCAAATTCATATTCATTTTCAAAACATTAAGTATTTTAATACAAGATATACAACTCTATAAAATACTTATCAATTTTTACATCTGCATAAAATGTATGTCAGAGTTACGTTAAGAGAAATTAGAGGAATAATAATAACATAAAAAAAAATCACCCAAGGCATTTTTTTCTGTCAGAACACAATCAATTTTTATTCCTATAGAAGTTATTATACCAACTTCCATATCCTAAAAGGTAGAAAGATTTTTAATATTAATATCATACGAAATGTTAATGTCATTACACTAAATATGTATAAAACAATTTCCTGCTGATATGTTGGTGATTAAAACCCATTTTTGAAAAGTTTAGTAAGAAATAACAATGAAAGATTAAAGATAAACACACAAAGATTTTTTAGACAAATATCAACATTTACACAATATATATAAAAAATTAAACAACTAAAAGTGAGCATAAAATTTATCTCCAAAATAAAATATGGAGAACACGAAGAGGAAAATATCCAAAATTTAAGTATATTAAAATTTCTAAATAATAATAAAAAAAAAAGACAATGAGAATAAAATCACAATATATAATAATGATCACAGTAAGAATTCAGATTTTCAAACACAGAAAGGAATATAGCAAAAAGTATGTAAAGTTTATAAAAATTCAAACTGCTAATAGAAGGCAGCAAAAATTGGTTAAAAGGTCAGGTATTGCAGGAAGGTTGAAAACAGATAATCATAAATGACAGAGAGACAAACCAAAAACTTACAAATATACTCTGTAAAAAAATATATATATAGTTCTCTTAGAGAGCCGAAAAATTCAATATATATCAGTTTATTTCATTTTAAAACCAGTACTTCTCTTTCTTTGCATTAATCTTCTCTTCCAAATCAGATAATCCTTTTCTTTAATTGTTTTTAGATCACTTACATGGCCACTTCTTCCAACTTGATAAGTAGCAAGTTGAAAAAAAACTATATATCAGTCCTTCTTACCGTGATCAATAAATTACATTTTGCAATTAATTAAAAATGTTAGAGTATATTCTTAGCTTCCTTTCTAATAATTATAATAATAAAAATCCCCCCCGAATGAGATGGCATATATGTTTCTTTAATGCATTATTCCCCCCTCAGATTCACAGTAAATAATTGATATGTATATAAATTAGATTATTTCTACATTATTTTCACTTTGCACAAAGTAAAACATTTGAACGAGTAAAACGTGTGTTTAAAATGCAACTAAAAACTTATGATTTCATACATTAAAGCTTTTGCAAAACAAAGTGAAGCAAGCTTAAATTCAAATAAAAATTAGAAAAAGCAACACTGACAGTTTAAACAAAAACTGGATAAAAAACAGTGCTAACTCTAAGTTGTAAAAGTAAACAAAATTACAAAATAAATGCTAATGGCATGTAATCATGAAATGATACTTTAAAGAAATTATTTAAAAAATTTTTTTAAAAGAAAGTGATTAAAAGAAATTATATAAGTTATTTTTTTATCATGCATTATGCAATATAAATCTCTATGGGATTCTAAATGTCAATAAAAGATATGAGATCCTAGATATATATTTTAGTTACACTGCAAAATAATAAGTTAATTTATAAGTAAGTCATAAAATGTTTTGTCTTCCCCCAAAAAAGCTTGAAAAATTTATTGATACAAAAGTATACCACAGCATAGAAACATATTAAATTTATTTCCCCTTAAATAATGCAAAAGAACAAATGATAATCAATCAATAAAATTTAACTTTTCACCAAATATATGACAAATATCATTAACTCGAGCAATTCTTCTTAAAACTGGCTTTATAAAACCATGTCAATATTGGTAAGATATGCATTTTATTAATCTAAAAAATAATCTAAACTACAGATGGCACTGAGATAAATCATAATTAGAACATCATTCTTAAGAAAACACATAATTAGAACATCATTCTTAAGAAAACAAAGTTAAAAAAAAAAGCAGAATGCAAACTGTAACATTTTTACAATTTTCTGGTCAACTGAAAAACTGTTTAAAGAAAAGAGCAATCTCACAATGAAGAAATGATAAATTTGAACCTCTCGATCATATAACACTATAATTCAAATTCATATTAACATAAACATAATTTGCATACAAATAATAAATCTGCATTGATACTTTCATTTAAGTAATAAATTACTTATTTATATCACTGAAAAAGTATTAAATATACGGGGAGTTTTCAAACTGCTCTAAAATACAGAAATGGGTTCTGAATTATATGCAAGAATATTTATTAACAAGTATTAATGAAATAAAAACCTTTCCAACATGTAAAACAACTAAATTGTTCTTCTTCAACTATAAAGCTCCAAGCATACACACTCATAACAAAGTTTCAATTTTACATTTCTTCATTTTCTTAAATATACCTTTAAGAAGACATTCGTAAAATATGTTCAACTCATTATGTTCAACAAGAGTAAAATTTAAAATTAAGATAACAGAAGTTTAAGTATGCTTAAGGATTACACAATATTTAATGAAATGATATATATATATATAAAACTAAGAAATGCTAAATTCAGTATAGCACATACTGGAATGAAATACTTTAGAACAAAGGTTCTCGATTTAAGGTAGCAGTAACCGAAGAGGCCTTCAGATTACTTAAAAATCTTCCTGCTGCAGATATTATATACAGTTATATTAATATACATTAAATATATCTATTTGTTAATGTATTACTTTTATAGCTCTTGCTATGCTTAATTTTAAGTCTGAACACAACTTCAGAAGACAAAATATTTCAAAATTTTATTACAAGACCAATACAATGATTAACATAATCATACAAAATAATGGAAATGCATAAAAAGGTTTTAAAGGACACTAAGAAATGAATTAAAAGTAATAAAAGATAAAGAAGCAAAGTGCTATGGCACATACAAATTTGAAATTATGAGAACCACTGCTCTAGAGTTTGAATTGAACACCTAGAAAACAAGAAAAAGACAAATAGAACACTTATGGCAATTATTGTCTACTTAGAAACACTTAAAGGGAAAACTTTATTCATTAGAAGATAGAGTTTTTCATATCAAATAAGGCTGACTCATTTAAAAGTGCATATATATTGCAGTGTTTACACATATTTTCTTAAAAGGAATATACAGCAGAACATTTTGACTAGTAAAAGATTCTTTGTACAAAAGAAATCTTTGAAAAAAAAAAAAAAAAAGAAACAGATTATGAAAGCTAAAACATTCATTTTTCTCTTGTAACTTGGTCTGCCTGCAGACATTTAACAGGTTTTATAATTTGCTTTAAAAAAATCAACATCCAATGTAAAAAATTTTGAATGTTTTACAAACGCTACTGTACATATATTAAAACCAGTTTATGAGCTACATTCAGTCTTTTCAGGAGGAATGAATACATTCTTTTCAGTGATGTCAACAGCATAATTTATTTCCTAGTTTGCATAAAAACTTCAAAACACATTTTTTGAGCATTCTGCAAAAAAAAAAAAAAAAAAAAAAAAAAAAAAAAAAAAAAAAAAGTAAAATTTACATAAATTTTTTTGAATTTTAATAAATGCATAAATTTTAAAAAACATATGGAAAATTAAAAGAAATATTGCTAACCAAGCAGAGATAATCTGAATTCCCCCCTTTAATTTTCATTTGCATTCTGTTTGAAGTATCTTTATAGATTAGCTGCAATCTTCTATCTGTGCTATAATTCCCCTATCTGGGTCTTTTTCAATGCCTGTGGAAAGAAACACAACAGAGGTGGCCAATGTGCTTCTAACACTCAATGGCTGATTGGAAAAAAAAATCTCTCTGGACTTTTATGTGCACTCTCTCATAGATATGCTAGGAGGCTATGGCCTCTTACGCATTGCAATAATAAATTTCTTAACATGTTGCGGTGACAGCGCAGCAATGGGACCAATGTCTCTGAGTCAGAGTTTAAAGGACAATGGCAGCCAGATGACTATGTTAGTGACAATAATCTTAGCTTGGAAGTTGAAGGGAAGGCCTCTGAGCACAGACATAGCAGACTTGTGTTCATAGCTTAATTAAGATAGTTTATGGTTCTAGGAACAGATATCTTTCAGAGACTCTTCAGTCCTTGTTTTCACAAGACAAAAACACATAAGAGTTTCTATTACAGAGTGGTTATAGAAAGATTTCAGTGACTTTTAAAACATGTAGCCCTATGCATGGGCCTCGGAAATAATAAGTAAGTCATGTGGCTTACAGCAGAACAAGTATGCAATACTAATTATACTCTATAAAATAACATACATCTATACTACAATTGCCATTTTAAAGTACTGGCCAGTTTCGCAAATAAAAATTATTTTTGTAAATATTTACATACTGTGAGCTGAGAAATATGTTCAGGTATTTCAGAACAGATCTTCCTCTATGCAATAACTTTTACATAAACATCTTAAATGAATTTTACAGAATATTAAATGCAAAAGTAATAGGCAAAAACTTACTTTAATTAACTAAACTGCAACTGAACTTGAAGTTGATGCTTGATGAAAAGGTCCTGTAAGAGGTGGCGTTCCAAGCAGTCCTAACCTCTGTTTCTGCTTTCGTTGTTCAGTCATCTATAATGAAATACAGAATACTCAGCAAATTAATGAGGTTATCAGATGAGTTGTTAAAGGTAATAAATACATTTATTTTTCAAAAATTTCTCACAGAACTTTTGTGCACATGCTTACTTTAAAGCATGCTTAGTAAACTCCCGATTTATGTAAATTCAAAGTCAGATAAGCATACAAAAGCTGTAACATTCAAAGTGAAACTTCCCAATCAGGATTCCTAAACAATAAAGACTTCCTAAACAATTCCTTCCTTCCCCGATCAATATGCCTTCGGGGGCTCTTTGTGATCACTTTGTGAGTACAGGTATTGCAATCTTGAGGTAACCTAGTTCTTCAGGGATTATCCTCTTGGTGAGATGGGGTCATGGCACCAATTACTATTGTTTAAATGGTCCTTGGACCATAGAGTGAACAGAAGATTAGACAAACATATTGTTTTCTAGAGAGGTGTTTTGTCAGCGTCTACGAGAATTTCCATGAATGAGATAACAAAAAAACCCTACTCATTTTTCTTGGTGCAATGTCAAAAATAAAAAAAACTGCAATCCCTCCAAAAAAACTGTGACTAGGATGATGTTTCTTGTCTATGACAGAACAGTTAAAGAACTTTAAATAGTATTAGGTAAACGAACTTGGAAAAAATTGTTGTGGCTGTTCTTGATGTTCAAATTGTTCTTTGGAAGAATGATTAAATACTGTGTTTCACAATTTTGTGATTAATTATTCAATACCAAAAATTGGTTCTACACAGCACACTCAAAGGCTGCCTGTCATGGCCCCCTAAATGTGCTTACTGCTCTGTCGTGAGCCATGAGGGTAAAATTCACCCTGCCAAGCTACTTTGTGTCAACTGTAAAGGAAGTGGACCTTCATTTTGTTGTTCATGTCCCAAATGAAAATCTGAAAAGGAAATTCAAAATACAAGAATTGCCAAAAATGATATCATATGCAGAAGCTAAATACTGATAGAAAGTACTCCACCTGGCCTGAATCAGTTTTGTGGATGCAACAAAACCTGTTCATTCAATCGCCACTCACACAGCATTTAGTACTCAAATAAAAGTTAAAATCAACCCCCCTTCAAATAGAATTAACTGAGAAACCATAACTTCTGGTCACACCTCTCTAGATAGTATATTTCCAGATACACCTGATTCTGAAATGGAAATGGAAAAAGGGATAGCTTTGGCAAAATTAACATCAGTGATGGCCACTTTCATATCTTGGAACTGTTAGAATTTCACCATAACGAACATCACAAGTTTGACAGATATTTATCACCCTGCCTACATTACAAAGTACAAGACATTTCAGAAGCAAGAAGATATCACAGATAAGCTGAGGAGATATTCAAATATCAAGAAAGACAGTATATCAGGTGAGCGTGACAGTGCAGAGTCAGTGTGCAGGTGTTGCTATCCTCACTTCATATGACCATCTTTCTTTTGAGCATATGTCTCCAAGCTGTTACAGTTTAGATCAATATCAGAATTCTAGTTACTTGTAGGTATCATCTACTTGCCTTCTAATGAAGTGATAAATAAAAAGGAATTAAGCTTTTTGGTAGAACAGTTGCCTGTTCCTTTCATTTTGATTGGGGATTTCAATATCACAATCCTCTGTGGGGTAATAGTGTCAAACTTTTGGGGAAGATAAATAGAAGAATTGACTGGTGATCACTGTTAACTGCAAAGAACAAATTTATTTCCACTAGCCCATGAGGACATTTCACAGTATTAATCTGGCCATTTGTTCACCATGACTCCCTCCAGCTTACTTAGAGTCAAAAACGTCACTTTAATGACCACTTATTTATTTTTGTAACCTTTAATGGAATTAAAAACATTGCAGATTTCTAAATAATCCTGATTTATGGACAAGCAGACTAAAAAATGTTTTTGTATTTAGCTATGCTCACTGATAAAACATGATAAAGAATGTGCCTGCCAATGAAGCTGTGATGGCCACATAATTCATACTGTGGTTCAAGCAACTAAAATCTATATTCCAAACAGCAGTGAAACCATGATTGTCAAAAAACTTTTGAACATAGGGGAAAAAAAAAAAAAAAAAAAAAAAAAAAAAGAGCCAGGAGAATCTTCTGCAGATACTCCATTAGCAATCACATCTCCTATATAAAAGTAAAAGAGAATGCAACACCAGAAACAGAAGGATGCTTAGATCCCTTATGTGTCATTCATTACATTTCAACTCCAAACAAGTGTGTATGAGGAAGGGTTAAAAAAAACTCAGGCATTTTTTATAAGGACCATGGACTTCCCATTTTGAAAATGAATGGTTTAACCTACAGCAGAAGAGAACAAATATAATGCCAACATCATAAATGAAAAATTTGGTGCTGCATCAAATAGTACTAACTATCCATCAGCATTCCTCTTAACTAAGTTTTGTTGCAAGAAAATACCCTTCAATTTTAACTCTCCCAGTATAGAAGCATACAGTGTTGACTTCACTATGCTGGAGATAAGAAAACTTTGGCTCTGACATCTATGATTATCCCTGATCTTTATGATACCAGCTATGTCATACTGAAGCATTTGTTCAGTAAATCATTGGAATCACTTCTCACTTTCTTACAACAGAGTATGGAGGAAGTACATTCTCTCTAATGCCTGGGAAAATGCTGTACCTGTAGCCAAAACTGGAGAGGATCCAAAGAATTACTCAAACTATTGCTGTATCACACTATATCGCCTATGCAAACTTCTGGACAAAAAGGTAAATGATCACCACGTCCATTATTTGGAAGAAAATGGTTACCTGTTCCCTAGCCAAAGTAGTTTCTGGGAAAGCAGATAGATGGACTACAGATAATGTGCTTCTTCTTGAGACTGCAGTGCATGACTTTTTTAAGAGGAACCATTCAGTGCCAATTTTTTTTTCAATGTGGAAAAAGTATATGATGAGACTTGGAGGTATGGAATTCTCAAAGATCATTATCATTGTGGCTTATGGAGAAACCATCCAGTTCACATCCACAATTTCATGAAGAACAGGCTCTTTCAAGTAAAAATTAGCTTTTTGCTATCTAAATCCTTTTACTACGAACAGAGAGTGCCACAAGGCTGTGTGCTGAGAGTGACCTTTTTAAATATTAAAATAAATGCAATTCTGAAGCAAACTTCTTTAAGTGTATCCAGCGCTTTATTACACCACTAGCATAGAAATAAGCTACCAAGGTACTGACATACAGTACATCAAAAGGCAAACTGAGATCGCCATTAATAGGATTGTTGAACAGACACAGATAAAAATGGATTTTTAAAGTTCTTTAATCAGAAGATGGTTTGTGATAATTTTTGCTGTAAAAGAAATCTTCATCCTGATCCAGAGATCTTATTAGAAGGCTCACCAGCTCCAGTATTGATGGAAATAAAATTTCTAGAAATAATATTTGATAAAAAAACTAACCTTTGTTTTATGCCTGAATAAAAAATGCTTGAAAATATTACACATTTTGAAATTACTATTATATACCTCTTGGATTGTGGATAAAACCTGCATGCTTTGAATTTACAGAGTTCTTATTTGCTCCAGACTCTACAGATCAGCGGTTTATAAATATATGCAAACTCTAGTGTTAGTGAAGCTTGATTCCATTCCTCACCAAGCTTTGAGAATCTCTTTAAGAGCTTTCAGAATATCTCCTGTGCAGAATTTGTATGTGGAATCTTTCGAGCCATCACTCCAGTTCAGGAACAAGCAGTTGTCTCTTTGATATTACTTCAAAATTCTTCTGCATCATGATCATCCAGCTAACCTTGTTATGTTTGATAACCACTTTCATTTGTTATACCAAGCACATCCCTCCTGTATTCTTGTTTTTGGATTATGCATCTGACAGTGATTACAAGAGGATGACTTAAAACAGGTGAAAAGACAAGCAGTAAAGCAACCAGAGATACCTCCTTGGAAAGATGCACACATCAAGCTTCTAAACATATTTTGCAATTTTGTTAAAGATAACACTGATTTCATGTACAAGCAGATTTTCTACGAACACAGACAAGCATTCAACAATATACACAAACAGATCTAGGTTCCATGATCATGCTTGATCGGCTATTGTGTTCGAGAATACTACCGAGGAAGGCAATTTCATCTCACTTGTACCATCTTTACTGCGGAGATCACTACTATATTTTTAGCCTTTTCTTTCATAGGTAAACAAACACAGATAAAATTTCATTATTTAAGCAGACTCACTGAGAGTGCTGAGTGCATTAGAATAGTATTTAGATAATACAAATCTGTTAATCATAGAAGTACTGAAGCTCACTATCAGCTTGAAGGCAAAAAGTTACAAGATACTTTATTGCTGGATACACGATTTTATAAAAGGGAATGAATTGATTGACATTGCTGTAAAATATGCTAGTGAAACGTACAGCTGATCTGTCCCATATTCCGATATAAATACAGTGATCAAACTCTGATGAAATGGCAGAGATCCCAGGATGTGCAGTTGAGCAATAAATTAAGAACTAAAGTCGACCATTTGAAGTGTGCCCGAAATTGAAAGCAGGAGGTTCTTCTAATATGGCTAAGAATCAACTAAAGGCTGATACATAAGTATCTAATGAGGAGGAAAAATGAGCCTGAATGTGTTGAATATAATACCATTTTAACTATTAAAGACAATTTAATTGATTGTCCTATTTTAAATTGCTTTCAAGTTTTATATTTTTATAAATGTGAGAACAGCTGTTAAATATTAATTATTAACTTTAATTAGTTTAAATACTATAAAATTTTAATACTTTTTCTGAATGCACTGAGTTTCATTTATAGTTGCTTGGAAAGTGTAACTAGATACTAGTTATGCTGTTATTTTCAAAATGCATCACAACATGGTTCGAAGATAAATCTTTGCAAATTTTATTCCTTGACTATACAGGTTTTTATTTACATTTTATGGTTTTTTTGATGTCCAAGCTTCACATGGGAATTTTCTGCCGTTCGGTTTTATTGAAATTTAC